TCTTTCTTTCTTTCTTTCTTTCTTTCTTTCTTTCTTTCTTTCTTTCTCTTTCTTTCTCTCTTTTCTTAAGTGTAGCAAACATAGGATAAATCAGTCCACAGTTGGCACTTCTGGAAAGAGTGTGTGTTTGTGTAACATTTCATTCATACATTCACTGAGTACTTCTTTGATCTTCTCTTGAGTTTTTGGAACTTAAAATTAGGAGAATTGGCTTCAAGGGCACTTTATCATAATGGAAAATTAAATGCTCAGGTGGCTTGGGATGAAAGCAGCCAAGTTCTATGTCAATTCTCTCCCTCCAGACCCAGGTTGAGAATAAGCCTTTGGTTCAAGTCCAGAAGGCACCCTCCAAGATCAAGAAGCTCAGAATGACCCGATATTCACATAAGGTAGGGGTGATGACCAGTGCCTTTTCTCTAGGAGACAGTGAAGACAAGCAGATGGTTGGGATAGAGTTTAGCAGGACAGTTTGTTTAATAACAACCACACTCTATATATGGCTGTGTATTGATAGATGAACCCTCTCCCAATCAATCCATAAAACAAACAATGAAGGATAACAAGGATCAAATTATAATGTGTCCATTGAGAAGATTGGGGTTTGTGTTACATATGCAGCAGGAGGAACTTCTCCATATCTGGACACATTTTCAGAGCATTGTATGAAAGTCAGACAAACACTTCCTTTGGGAGACATATTGAAAAATGCCATTTCTTAACTGGAAATAAAATCCTGTCTTGGAGATGGATTTTTTCCTTGGGGGGGGGCACAGTCTCCAACATTGCATTGGTGATAATACTGGCCAGCACTTTTAAAACACTCTACATATATTTCCCCACAAAAGTCTTATAAAGTAGGTCCCATTTTTGTCACCATGGTAGCAATGAATGAACGAGTCTTAGAAAGTCAGTGTGACCTCATGGAGGCTTACAGTTCATTAGTGGCAGAGGTAGGATTCAAACTCCTAGTCGACCTGATAGACTACTCTGCTCTCTGGAAATCTGCTTTTTTTCATGAACTTAGGTTAGATGCCACATAGGTGTGGAGTTATGGATAGAAGAGATAGCCCAGAACACACTTCCTTTTCTGGGATGCCTGTAACTTGTTCACTTTCTCCTTCTGTAGAATCCAAACAGCAGCATTACTGCGCTCCCTTTTATGGACACAAAGGGGAAGAGAGATAGAGTTAACTTCCCCCACATTGGCAACAAAGTCTTATCAAAGCCATCCATTCTGCATCTGGTGAGTAAGACAATGGACATGCGCTTGTGCAAGCAGATTCATGGCCTAAGTGAAAATGTGAACGAATGGGCCTTGACTTTCTTTCACTTATAAAATGGGCTCTCTGTGGTATCATGAGCATTCATCAAGGAAATGAGAAATGAAGTCCCTGATGTGTAAATGGTAGAGCCATTCAAAAGATTTCCCTCCAATGTTCTCTACTAAAAACAAATATAGTAATGTGTGATGTGTGTGGTATGTGCATATGAACATAGATGCTCACAGAATCTGGAAGAGCATGTCAGAGCCCCTGGAGCTGGGGTTCCAGACAGTTGTGAGTCACCTGATGTGGGTGCTGGGAAAGAGGCTTGTGTCCTCTGCAAGAGCAGTAACACCCCGAGCCCCTTCTCTAGTCTCTGCTTTGCCCTTCCTGTGCAAGAGCTACATGAGATTCTACAAGCTAGTAACAAGCTAAACAGGTGCTAGTCTCACCTAAGCTGAAGCTTCTGGGATCTAGTAAGTTGCTTAGCTTTTTTGAAATTAGCCTGTATTAGTTACTCTTCTCACTGTTGTGAGCAAATACCTGAAAGGAAGCAATTTGAGGGAGGAAGGGCTTATGTTGTTCTCATTTAAGCAATGATGTTCTTTACGGTAGGGAGGCCATGGCAGCAAGAGCATAATGTAAGCTTACATTATGTCTTTGGGCAATAAGCAGAGAAATGAATGCTGGTCATCAGCTCAGTTTTCTTTCTTTTCCATCTGAGGCAACCCCCAACCCTCCATTAATGGCGCTTCCCACATACAAGGTGGGTCTTCGTTCTTTAGTTCTGGAAACTAGAGAAATCAAGAGATGTGTTTCCGTGGTGACTGGAAATCCCAGCCAAGATGACAGTGAAAAGTAACCACCCTCATGGCCTCCACAAGAGCATCAGTAAAAACTGTTGCATCTTTCTCTACAGTGGCATGCCACTGGGCCATCAACTGTATAATGTAATGTAGTGGGCCCTCTCCAGGGCATCATACAAGACTCAAAACTCTCTCTTAGGAGAAAGTTGAGAGACTTACTATCTCTAAAATCTTAATTCTTTTTTCCTGAAAGTGGTAGGAAAAGATCCTGGCTGGAGGTGGGCCTATTGGGTCAACTGGAAGACCCATGACCACCCCCCACCCAAGAGAAACCAGTCCTTTCTTACAAACTTGTTTCCTTGAGCAGGAAAATCAAATTCACAATCAACTGCTATTCTCTGAGCTCAAGACTTCAGAAGTACTTTCTGATGCCAACTTTAAACCCCAAGATAACAAGCCATATCTGGAACTACCAAAGAGGTACAAGGCCCCTCTTACAGCAGCAGGTATGACTTTGGGAGCTGTAGCAAGGTAGAGTGAAAGGGGACGCATGGTTATGCATGGCCAAACTGTTGAGAGTTGAGCTGAGCTACGGTGAGACAAGCTTCCACGTGCTGGAGACATCAACGAAGGCAAAGGACCAGAATAATCGAAGTTAATTCCATGACTTCTCACTGTGGCTGGCTAAGCTGAGAAGGAGTGAGCGGCAGCTCTCTATGGTTTGTTGTTCCCCGGGGAACTGCACTAGGTCAAGGTCAGCTGTGTCAGTGTAGACAGGGGGAAGTATGTTGTATGGTCTCAGGTGAAAAGGAGTGAGAGGTAGAATTAAGGGTGAGAAGTGCTGAACTGTCACAGTTATTTGGAAGCTTCCTCTTCCTCAATCAGGACCAGGTAGAGGGCTCCAGATGGTGTGTGTAGACTCCTGGGTTCAACATGGAGGTGCATGAGAATGCTGCCTGACTGGGAAGTTTGATTCTGTAGCTCTGGTAGGAGACCGCCATGGGTGTGAAGTGCACTGAGTCATGAGGGAAGCTTTCCTATGATGCCTGCCTGGTAAAGTTTCTGTGATTGTGTGTGATGGAGCCAGAAAGATCAGAAGCCAGATTCTTCCTGAGATTCAGAGATTCAGAGCTTCCCCCTTAAGACTCAAAACAAGAGAACCGAAGTCTGCTGAATGCTTTCATGCATCAGCATTGTCCAATCGGCAGCTCTTCCGCCACAAGACTGAGTTGACCTGAGTTGACTGGCCACCCTCCTCCTTCCCACATCCCAGGAATGACCCCTGAGGAGACAGCTTCTGTTGTGAGCTAGTTCTGCCTTTGTGGGAAGCGATATCTGCTTCCTTGCTGTCTCAAGCCTTGGTTCTGCCTCTGGGTGGAAAACATCCATTGTGATTCACCCTCTAGCCTCATTACTTGTAGGAGGACAGAGGTTGCCTTGTGCCTCATTTTCCCCCCTCCCAGTACTTCCTTCTATAAGTCTTCAGCAAACAGCTTCCAAAACAAGTAGGTACCCTTCCTCAATTCTCCCTCCAGAGAAACCCCCATATATTAAAGTTGACATCACTGGGGATGGAGAGTTCTAAGGTTAAATGCAGATCATGCAACAGATGCCGGTTTGGTTCCCAGCACCCACCAATGTGGCAGTTTACAACCATTTTTTTTTAACTCCAGTTCCAGGATATCTGATGACCTCTTCTGACCTCTACAGGCACCAGGCACACATGTGGTATACAGATGTATATGCAAGCAAAATACACATACGTTTTTTTTTTAAATTCTTAAAGTTGGCTATCACCTATAATATTCTACACCTGCCCTAACACACACACACACACACACACACACACACACACACACACACACATACCCTTGCTGAGATCTGACAATCTAGCTCAGAAACATTCTTCCCTATGCCTTGAGATGCTACCTGGGCTAGCTCAGCACAGATCTGCCAGGATAAATGCTAGATTAACGTTGTGCTTACACTACCAACATCATACTTTTTAAATCCTTTCTCTGTAGTGTGATTCAGCATGAACTTGGAGAAATGGCACCTTGATCTCATACTGTTGTTGCCACAGAGGAATCCTCAAGGTTTCCCCTAATCTATGGCAGCACATGGTCATTGGTTGCTAATTTCTTCTTGGCGCTTATCCCTGTTACATCTCCATGGGCTGAGAAATCCAGTGTGTGGTCCTTAGGAAGTAAGCTTGCTGGGAATATGCCCCCTGAACTGGCAAGGGTCTGTGCCTGGGGCTGATGTCCAAGGGACTCAACTGAGCCGATTATGTTTTCACACACAGAGGCCCTAAAGTATTTTAAGAACCAGCTGTCCTCTTATGAGCAAAATGAAATCCTGGGCTACTCGGAGCTGTGGTTCCTGGGGCTTGAAGCCAAGAAGCTCAAGGTGGCTCCGGAGAAGTTCAGCAAGACATGCTTTGACGATGAGAGTGGCTCCTACGTGAAGGTGCTGGGTTATGGCAACACCTCAGGGACTTGGCGGGTGGGGGGAATGATTGCATCAAGAGGAAAACAGAGAATATTTTGCAGTATTTTATACTGATGTGCTAAGGGATTGGTTTCCCAAAGAATTTTAGTGGGTGCTAAAAAGAAATGCCATATTTTTTTTCTAAAAGTCAGGAAAATATGTGATTTCTTTGTACAAAGGACTCTGCTATTGGAATGCCAATGTTCTCCATGAATGCTGGGGTAACAGATTTATATGTTGTGTAAACTGTCATTAAGAAAGGACCCATCAAGAAAGGAGTAAGACACCACCCCAGTGTTTGCTTTTACATTGTCTTTCATACAAACCCCACCTGGGGACTCTTTTTCTATTTTATAGTATGAGTCATTTTAGCATCAGAAAAAAAAAACAAAACAAAAAAAAAAAAAAAAAAAAAAAAAAACCCACTTTTGTTGTGATCTCTGGTGTATAGTATTTAACTTCATTTTGTTTTCCAAATATTGATCCCAACATCTCCTCTTCCTTCTCACTTACTGTTCCTCTGTTGCCTCAGGGGCAGAGTCCCCCAGCTTGAAGGTAGAATCAGGGCAGTGATCCCTACTTTTGATAACACCGACCAGGCTGTAGTTGTCTAGAGTTTCCTCTTTGGGCCTCTCATTGTAACTTGGTTTTTTAGAAGCTACTCTTTGATGGCTTCTTAGAAGCAGTAGGTTTTCTTAATGGCTTATAAGCCCTGCTTCTCAAGCTACTGAGCACAGAAATCAACTGGGGATCTTGTTAAAGTACATATTCTTACCCAGAAAGATGTGATGGATGAAAGATTTCACATTTATAGGTGATATCCAACCCGTAAGGCAGACCACACTTAGAGAAGCAGGCATGTCATTTCTGCTATAGACTCCATGAGAGGACAGCTTCTCAGCAATGTTAAGTCAAATATCCCTTTGGAAATCTGATAAAAGCTATGAGTCCTCATTCTCCACTCCCCAAAAGTAATCTGTATGCACACAAAGTTACAGGGGACTAACGGATCCTTGGTTATGAATCACCATAAGTTTTCCCAAACATCATCACCTGCTTCTCAGATATTTCCATCTCCCTATGGGGGCATTAGTCCTGACCCTAGTTGAAAGCATCAGACCTCAATCAAATCTTAGAGATCTTTATTTTTTTTAATGTGGCAGTGGGAGGGGGTTATTAATGTGCATTCTCTATAAGCTCCAATCTGCATCTTTGTTTTGTTTTACACACAAACACATTATTGACAAAACCAGATACCCAAGTAAGCTACACAGCTACAATCTTACACTCACTCTGCCAACATGTGTCACTTATGTACCTATTTATTTCTCCCACGTCACAAGCCTACCCATCTTCTAAACTCTGCAAATATAAGGAGAGCAATCTATCACACATGAGCATACTATGGTTATTCAGGGACCTACAAGTAATGTCAAATGGACATGTAAGCAAGCATGATACAACCAAACCACCGGCACAAAGAAGATAAAGAGAACGTCAGGGAAACACTGAAACGCTTTTATATGAGCACGTCTGCACGTTCTGCCCCATTTCATCACAGACCTTCACCAATCGGTGAGACCTTTTCCATTTTGGTGAAACTGTATATGGTCAAATTCATGGTCTTGATTCTACTGTATGAACAGAACCTCCACTACGTACATACATACATACATACTCATTAGTTCAACACTAGAAATCAGAGATTCACACAGCTAGAGTACCTCAGACACCATCTCATTCTGCCTGACTTTATAGAGCCGGGCACTGTAGCTCAAAGTGGACAACTGGCTTATCTGAAGCCACTGGCCTCAAGTCTCCAACCAACAACTTTATGTAGAATTTACTGAATGCTTGATCCCTACTTTCCTACAGAGACTTGGATGATGATTCTGTTTCTTCAAAGATACTTCAAATGCCCAAGTTCTGTACTACTTTCTCAAGACAGGATTAAGTCTGTATAAGTATAGGAGGAGATTACTGGCCAAGAAATGGCAAATCAGACCTCAAGCTTTCTCATATGGGCTGAAGGCATAGCAAGGGTCAGAGTGGATCAAATATTTTTGTGCTGTAGGTCTTAATGATATAGAAACACAAGTGCCCCTCCCAAATAGATATGGATTAAGCTTTGTGGGATGTTTCCTGCTAACCATGTATGTGGTCTGGAATCCAAACAACCCAATCATTTATGAGGCCATAACTTGAGAGCAGGAGTTCAGAACCACTCCCTTCCCAAGAGGGAGCTAAGATGTGGGAGGTAGGATCCAGGGGTCCTGGGGTGCAGTGAATCCAAGAGCTCATGGTTCTGACCCTCATTGCTGGCCTGACTTCTGCAGGTCCTTCATGACCACATTGCCTACCGATATGAGGTTCTAGAGATGATCGGGAAAGGGTCCTTTGGACAGGTGGCCAAATGCTTGGATCACAAAAACAATGAGTTGGTGGCCCTGAAAATCATCAGGAACAAAAAGAGGTGTGGCTCAATGGGTAACATAGGAAACAGAAATTTGGACTGTGTGACTCTAGCTGTTTCCAAAAGTCAACTCTCTCTGCTACTGCTCTTCTCATTTCTCTCTGGCTTTTCTTGCTTCTCTCTCTACCTGTCTGATATCACAAAGAGGCAAGAAGAAGCAAGAATGGAATTTGGGATACATTCGGACACCCTAGATATTCTTGGGGTCCTAGGGCGGGATTCAGGACTGTCTGCTACATTGTGACATGATGCATGTTTTCTGTCCTCATTGCCCACCACCTTGGTCACTCCCCAATCACCTCAGATTTCACCATCAGGCTCTGGTGGAGCTGGAGATCCTGGAAGCCCTCAGAAGGAAAGACAAAGACAACACCCACAATGTGGTCCACATGAAGGACTTCTTCTACTTCCGGAATCACCTCTGTATCACCTTTGAACTCCTGGGGTCAGATGCTTTTTCTTTGTTACGTTATAAATGGTTGCATAAGTGACAGAAGAGAATCTCTGAGGTCAGAATACTAGATTTTTCTGGATGTAGTGCTTAATGACTAAAGTGGACATTGTAGCCACTCAGACAGAAAAGAAGCTGAGACCGAAAACTGGCATCTCACCTCAGTAAAGCCTGTCACCTGCTCACATAAGTGTGCTGGGCTTCCCGAGGCTGAGTATTGGAGTAGGTGACCTACTGAGTATGTTTTCGTTTCGATCTTGAAGGCAAGATCTGAGAAGGGCATCTCTTTGCTCTCATGTCCTGGTTTTCCAATTCTGTGGTGTAGGGATTAGAACACAGAACCATAGGCAAAGTGGCTTCTTAGAGTGGGCAAAGGACTTGGATTTCGAGTAAAGGCAAGAACAGATTTTTTTTTAATGTAATAAAACAGGGCCCTGATTTATGTAGATTGGCAGCAAATGATTGAGTATGAGAAAAGAAAAGCCTCGGCAGTCAGAGGTTCCTGGGTCATTGATTTAGTAGCTTGATGCTTCCATGACACTGTTATGGAACATGACATGGACATGTCATGGACGTTCTGTTTACGTTCTCAATGTGCAAAATACAGTTTACTCTTCAACATGCACATGTGAGTTATCTTCCCTGTGGTAAAATAAATAGGAGCGACTGACTCTCTTAGCCGTCTATCTCCGTGCCCAGGAGGGATGTCACTGTCCTTAAAAAAGCTATGAGAATCCCAGTTATGTTGGGGAATTGCTCAGAGTCAAAGGTCAACACAGCTAGAAGAAGCCAGCCCTTCTATCTGTATTGGACCCCCAAGAGTGAATGGTTTCCTACGTACCGCCACAGACACGTATCCTCAGAAATAAAAGAAGGAAAGGAAGTGGCCAGGTGTTGGCACACGCCCCTTTCTTTCTGTCTCCACCTTGAAGTCTGCACAGAAGACAAAAGCCACCCTCTCACAAATGTGTGTTTCATTTCCAAGACTTGTAAGTCGGCAGATTTCATCCAATACAGCATGGCTCTGTCGAATGTTGTAGACTTCCACTACTATAGAGAACTGAGGATGGTACAGCAAGACTCAGGGTTCATTCTTGCAAGACCATAGTTTAAAGGGCCAGCTGGCCACACTTACCTTTGCCAGGGTGGGGGCTCCCTTGTTTCCCTGAGCTTCCATTGGCCCATGCTCCTTTTTCCATACATGCCATGACACTGAAGATCTTGGCAAGTCCGTTAGGCTGGGGCGGGAGTGTCTACTTTGTTAAAGCCTCCCTGGGCCTCTTCCAGGAGCTGGAGGAACTGTGGCTGTGCGGCCTTGCCTCTTGGCTTGCGATCTGTTTGATATCAGAGGGAAGCCAGGTGACATGGGTTACACACGTGGGTCCAAGCTGAGCATGGTGTTTCGACAGCCACCTACATCGCTCTCCCTCTCTCTTTGTCCCAGAATCAACCTGTATGAGTTGATGAAGAATAACAGTTTTCAAGGCTTCAGTCTGTCCATAATCAGGCGCTTCACCCTTTCCGTTTTGAAGTGCTTACAGATGCTTTATGTAGAGAAAATCATCCACTGTGATCTCAAGCCAGTGAGTACAAACTGTCCAGCTGGTGGGGCTGGCTACCATCACTGTTTTCCAGGGTGGAAGGCAGGCAGTGTTCTTTCATAGGTGGAGATGCAGTGAGGATTAAGGTATATACACTGTGGAGATAAAGAGGAAGATGACAGAGTGAGGTATTTAGGAACAGGAAGACTGGTGTATGGCTGGTGTCTTGCGCATCAAGGCATACAGCGAGGAGCCCTGGGAGTCTGGATTTACTCTGTTGGCACTTTTGATTATCAGCCACTGCAGGCCTTAAGAGAGTTCTTGTCAGGTGTGGTGGTAAATCAGGGGTTCAAAATCATCCTCCGCTGCATAGAGCATTCAAAGCCAGCCTGAGATACACAACATGCTGCCTTAGATTCCTTTTCCACCAATATTTATTATGCATAATTAATGAAAGTATTGGAAATTATAACAGTGCCTCCACAAACAGCCAGTAAAATCTTATTGGAGAAAGCCATGAATAGTTGTATTGGAAAGAACCATCATGATATGGAAAGGTAAGCACATCCCTATTGATACCGTACTTTGCATATTCAAAACTGGTGGACACTTGGGCATGATGCACATGCAGGCAGATCTTCTCCATTCAATTCTCATCTTTACTGGCATTGTATACAGCTCCATAGCTATTTGGATTGTTTATTGAGTAATCAGTTTTTGGAAGGGTGTTTTGTTTTGTTGAAACGGTTTCATATAACTCAGGCTGGCCTCAAGCACTATATCTAGCTGAGGCTGGCCTTGAACTCCTGATTCTCTTGCTTCTACCTCCTCAAGTACTGGAACTACCAAGATACACCATGGTGTCTGGCTAGGAATCACTGTCTAGATCTATACCCCGTTGGACTACCTGCTCTTCCTGAGGGCAGGGACCACTTCCTCTCACCATTATGTCCTCAGGACCTAACACAGAACCTCGTACCAGAAATACAAGGCAACAAAGGATTCTGAAATGAGTAACGACTGTCAGTTCAGAGTAGTGGCTTAGAACAAGCCCCAAAGAGCTGGTTTAAAAACTGCTCTAACTCACAGACAGGAAACTATTCTTAACTTGTCCTTATTCTCTTCCCTTCATCCATAGAAGTGGATGAAGAGAAGCAGAAGTCCTGGGGTTAAATTTTTGTGAGTAAAGATTTTCAAGACAGAAAGATAGAAAAGACGCTGTCCTGACTGGAGCCTCATGAGGGTGGAAATATACTAATGTGTTCACCATTCCCAGTTCCAAATCCTCAGCTTTCCAGCTCCCAGGGGTCCCATAGATACTTAAGAGCTTAAGATTTAGGGGACTGAATCCCACCAAGGAAATTCACAAAATTTTCTCCAGGCAAATTATCAGGTAACAGGTTTCTTTGGGAAATAGGTCAGGTGTGCTCAATAAGTGTATCCCTTTGGGAATGTAAACACAGACCAAGGGGGTGTTTAGTGAATATGTATTATGTCTTTATTGTTTACTGTGTACAAGTTCTGAGTTCCCATAGTGTTGCTCCATTTTAAGAGAACTTTCTCCCAGTAAGAATGGAGAGGGCAGGGTGTGTCTGTCAGTCTTCCATTGCTATGACAAAACACTTGTGGAAATCAGCTTCTAAGGAGAAGGGAAGGTTTTGGTTTGTTTGTTTGTTTGTTTGTTTGGCTAATGGCTTCAACCCAAGGTTGGTTGGCACCATGATTTTTGGAACTGTGGAGAAGCAGAGCATCATGATACAAGGCTTGGAGAGTGAAGCTATTCATTTCATGGTGGCCAGGAAGAAAGAGAGTTGGACAGAGTGCTAGTTCTCAGTCCCCCCACTGCCAGCGTTAACAATAGCATTTTTATGAACATTACATCTATTCATCCACTGGCATTTGTAAGGCCTTATGAAAACCAAGCATAGAACCAGGTACAAAAGATCATGTAAATAAACTCATAATCATCAGCAGTTTTTCCACAACCAGTAGGGGAAAAGGCAAAATATACACAAAGAAAGGAATGCAAAGCAGTAAATATGAGGTCCAAATCAGATAAAGACCACAAATCAATGGGAAGTCCCAGGAGGAGGACCATGGAATATGGAGAAGATGTGGGAAGAGGACCTTTGAGGTGGTTGTATTTGAATGGGACAATCCTTGTACAGGAGTGACATATAGGTAAGGAGAGAGCCTAGGCAACATTAATTTAAATAAATAGCATACATCCTCTTTTTTTTTTTTTTCAGGAAAATATCGTGCTATACCAGCGGGGCCAAGTCACTGTTAAAGTTATTGACTTTGGATCAAGCTGTTATGAACACCAGAAAGGTAGGCCCTTTGCCAGCCCCTCTGTCTGAGTTCTGCTATTATAAGTTCTCTCTCTTCCTATGTCAGGCTACCTGGGTGCCAGCTTGGGCAGCTTACATTTGAACCAGGTGCTTCACATCGCTGAGTCCAAGTTTTGTTTTGTTTTTAATCTATAAACGGAGAAGGTTGTATCCAAAGAGTGTATGGACTCTCTGAAGTTCTCATAGTCCGTAGTTAAATGACCCATGAGCACCAGGTCCCCAAAATGACTAGACGTACTTAGATTTACTCCAGGGCTCTGGAATATTATAGTTCCCAGGTGCTCACTTTACAAGCATCAAATCTGAATTTTTAGTGAGTAAAAACTTAGTGAGTTTGCACTTTAGAAAATAATCACTCTGCGGTTTAGATTTCATTGCCCTTGATTCATCTGTGGACCTTGTACTTTTTTCAAGCTAGAACCTGAAAAGAAACCCTGGAGCGTATTCATACCAACCCTCACTGAAGTTGACTTGATTGATCATCTGCCTTTTACAAGTCTGATTTAGAGAACAAGTCCCAGCTCTATGACATTCATTAGTCTAGGTTTAAAAAAAAAAAAAAAAAAGGAACCCACAATATTGTCTTACAAAAGTGAGATAGCGTGTGGCAGTGTGTTCCAGGGGATCTGAAGGCAGAGATCCTCCTGCCTCTACACCTCAGATCCTAAATGGTAGGAATAAATGTAGGGAGGTGTGTGTGTGTGTGTGTGTGTGTGTGTGTGTGTGTGTTTGTGTGTGTGTGTGTGTGTGTGTGTGTGTGTGTGTGTTGGGGGGGTTTGATGTTTTTCTTTCTTTTCTTTTTGTCTTTCTTTTTTCTTTCTTTCCTTCCTTCCTTTTTTCTTTCTCCTTCCTTCCTTCCTTCCTTCTTTCTTTCTTTTTTCTTCTTTCTTTCTTTTTTCTTCTTTCTTTCTTTCTTTTCTTTTCTTTCTCTTTCTTTCTCTCTCTCTTTCTTTCTTGTTGTCTCTTTTTCTCTTTCTTCCCCCTCCCTCTTCTCGCACTCTCTCTCTTTCTTCTTATTATTTTATTTTACTTTTAAAACAGGCAATTTAAATTTACTTTCTTGGAATTACTCCTTTGGAGTTCCTTATCAATAAGCTAACTTAGATAACAATCAGCGGTTGGGAGGATCAATCTATTGGCAGATAATGGAATGGGACCTAGATACACTTCCTTTTTCCCAAGAAGCCCGAGAGTTGGGGTGGGGTGTGTACTTTATGAGGGTGGTGCTCTAAATTAATTACTGCAGGGGCATCTAGAGAGAATGTTTCAGCCTGCTTTCTCTCCCTTTCCCCAACAGTGTATACATACATCCAAAGCCGGTTCTACCGATCCCCAGAGGTGATTCTGGGCCACCCCTACAGCATGGCCATTGATATGTGGAGCCTGGGCTGCATCATGGCAGAACTGTACACTGGATACCCACTGTTCCCTGGGGAGGACGAGGTGGAACAGCTGGCTTGCATCATGGAGGTGAGGGAGAGGGCCGGCCACCATCATGGCTGACTTCCTGGAATAATGTCTGTCCTCAGACTCTGGGTTTCATCACTCCCAGCAAGGGCAGTACCGTGCGTACTCCTCCACTTCCTAAAGTATTTTTGAAATGATGTGCCTCTTATATTTTGCTGAGTGGAAAGAGAATTTTTTTTTATCATGGTTTAAAAAGATGATGCCCTTTTGCTCATTGTAAATACTAACATTTTAAAATAAGGATGCTAGCCTTTCAAATACATTGCCACAATGATGATGATGATAAGACTGAAGCCAGTGTGGTCTGATAATCTACCTAAAAATCAGGTGATTGTGTTCTTACAGAACCGCACCCTTCCTCTGGTTTGTTCTTCTTTTTCCTGGAATAGGCAAATAGGTAAAAAGAGTTGCAGAATGGTTAATTTGGATGGAATTAGCACTGGTCTAGGAGTTAGTAAGCCATGGATCCAGCCTCAGATTTGTGTTTATGGAATGCCACAATGTTTGCTGTGGACTGTTGAAAATGAGGGTCAGGATGGGTGTTGCTAAGGCTGAAGCACCCTTGAACCTTCCCTGCTTCCAATACCTGGGAGACTGGGGGTGTGTGAGCTGTGCTCCCTACTTCTCCAGGACCTCTGAAGGACCACAGAACTGGGGGTGGGGGGTGGGTTATGCTAGGTATGCCAATCAGGACCGGCTATTTTCTCTTTGTCTCATTTATACACCTGTAAGTTTCAGAGAAAACAGTGACCAGTCAGTGCTAATTTCTTTCTCTCCAAGAATGTCCTTTTGTATTCTAAGGGCTCACTGCTTATCTCCTTTCTCCCCTCCCAACCCAGTGGTCTATGCTGGGAGAGGTCTTCTCTTTCACTGTGGTCTTCACTGACTGATAGGAATCTGGATGCTACTATAGTGTTTTATGGAGGCAGCCTGGAGTAGGCACTGTCAGAACTATTCTCTGGGTCTGCTCTCCTACTGAATGTTGCTAGTTAAATCTCTTGGTCCTTAAGTGTAAAGTACAAAATTTGGCCAATGTCCCATATAGATCTTGACAGCCTTTGTGCTTGTAACTCCACAATAGTGACACAGCCACACTCTACTTGTTGAAGGTGCTGGGCCTGCCACCTGCCTACCTCATAGAGACGGCTACCAGGAGACAGGTATTCTTTGGTAAGTGCCATGGTCTTACTCTTTGCCCCTTGTGTCCAATGAGGTGTCATGGGCCTTGACAATAGATGGTAGATGAATAGGTAGGTAGGTAGATAGGTAAATAAATGGATGGATGGATAGATAGATAGATAGATAGATAGATAGATAGATAGATTTTTCTTTTCTCCAGCTCCATATTGAAAGGTGATAAGGAGCTGAAAAGATGACAAGTGATGCCTAGTAGTGTGAAAGATGGAAAGGTGTTTCTCACAGAGGGAAGGGGTTACAACAGCACAATGCCCAGGAGCATGAAGGACCTCATTTCTCTGTCAGCCAGTACTGCAACCACAAAAAATTAAAACCATAATTTCTCCTAAAGGTGAACCCTAAACAACTTGGCCTCTCTTGCCTTTCACTGAGAAATGAGGGCAGAAACTTCTGCGTAGTGGGAAATTCTACTGTTATAGTCCACCATTCATGGAGACGATGATGGTGATGATTTTGTTTGAACGTGCAGAGCTAGGGTGTCTGTGTGTGGGGGCCATATGTGTATACACAGGGATGCCAGCGTTCGGTATTATCTGGTACTGTTGTGTGACACTGTCCCTGGGACAGTGAGAACAAGTGTCTACTCACCCCATATAGGGAACTGATGACGGACTGTGATAAGAATAGCATCAAAGTCCAGTTGGTTTGAACCAATGAGTTTTCCCGGGGTTACTTGTAGGAGTCTGGGTGAAGAGTTACAGTCACAGACACGACTAAAGCACAGCTCCATCACCAAAGGCCCAGCATGAGTGACAGCTTGTGAAAGCTGCAAATGTGAAGCTCACTGCACAGTTTGCAGACAGCTCAAGAGGTTGGAGAGTGTTTATTTCGGGTAGCCCAAGTGGTCTGAGCCTCTTGCAAGTAGCTCAGCTGCTTCTTCGAGGCAACGGTTATCTCTAGGCAGTTCCTACAGCTTATGTGTTTGGGGAGAGAAGCAAATCTGTTTCAGGAACTTCCTGAAGCTTTGAGTTGCCTCCTTGGACTAATGAGCTTTGCTGTAGGTTGGCATGGGTCACCCCCCTTTGGAACACCCTGAATCTTAAGGAGCTCCCCTCTAAGATGGAGGTTTATCTTGAAAGGAATTGCTACACAATGGGCATATTCTTTTGTCACTCTCTACCTTAATGTTCGGGACACACCCCTCACACTGAAGCCATCCCCTACATTTTGGCTACACTAATTGGTCAGGAAGCTCCTTCATGTCTCCATTCCCCATTTCTGGAGTCACAGGCGCTGTCATATTTGCCTTTAACGTGGGAGCTGGGGAGCTGAACTCAGGTTCTCATGTTTGAACCGTGAGCACATTACAAACTCAGCCTCTGAGGGTCACCCAAGTAGAGGGAAGCTAGACATGAAGTAGTGGAGACTCCACAGACAGGGGACATTGCTAACCAGCCACAGTTGCCAGGCTAGTTGACAGGCTCCCACCAGCTAGGCAGTCCAGTTGTCTTAGTCCTGATTCTTGACTTGAAATGTCTTCAGAAAAAGTAGGCAAATCACACATCACTCTCAGCTTTCTCCATCAGCAGGAGGGTTAAAAGCATCCCCAAAGGGAGTCACTAAGACAAACGATTTCAGGCCTGCTGGTCATCGTGTATTGGTTTCCCCTCTGCACTATTCAGCAACAAGCCAGGATTTCAGACATCCGGGATCCTTCCTCAGGTTTCCCTGGACTTTCCATGATCTAGAAACTGAAATCTGAAGGCCCAGCAAGCAAACACATTCCATAATGGTTAGAATTCAAGTTTTCCAATTTCTCTATGTCACCTCATTTTCCTGGCTTGAGATCTGAAGACCTTACCTTTGGACAGGGAAGGGTCCATGTTCCCTTAGCACACTGCTCCCATACTTACCTTTTCTCTTTACACATAGGGTTTACACCTTTAATCCCAGCACTCAGGAGACAGAGGTGGTGGATCTCTGTGAGTTCAAAGACAGTGTGGTCTCCATAGCAAGTTCCAGATAAGCTGGGGCCACACAATGAAACCAGGGAATACAAAATAACAGAACTTCATTATTCAGCACATGCAATACCTATCATACAAACACCACTGAATCCTGAGAACACGGTGAATACACAGACTGTGTAAATACACCTATTTGCTTGCACACTTTACAAGGTGTGAAGCCAAGTGGCCAGTTCTAAGCATTGTACAAGAACCTCAACACACAGTTCAATGGTTTCACCTCTGAAGGGTGCATAAAACATCCTCAGGCAATTTTTAGAACCTTCCAGACTTCACAGGCTTGGTAAGGTTCCTTTTTAGCAGAAAGAGCTGAAGAAAGGCCATTCCAAGTCATTTCTTCTAGGGCTAAACAAGACCAAACACTCAGGTGCTGACGACATTTTGGCATGACCTTAAAGAATTAATGAAATGCATCAGCTTGTATGTTTTTGTAAACGAGTTCTGAAAGCATTCTAAAGTGTCCTGCTCTGTTCTATCCTGTGAGTTCCCTCATTTTTCCTTTACTGGGCAAGTGAGGAAGGAGCGAGGGCATAGACAACCCAAGAAGATACAACACCTTTCTTCCCAGGGGTGGATATTTTTGACATTTGTAATTTATTTTTACATCATTAACATGCCTCATATCATCCAACATTCATCGGTGGGGGACAAGCAACTTAAACTGTTTTGATATGGGAATCATGTGGTGGGGAAAAGACCCAGGACATACAGGATAGTTGGAAAAGTTGTATTTGGTACCGGTTTTAGTCACTACATAATGTCTGTGGACCGTTTCAGCCTAGCTGATGCTGTGCTGTGCTTGTGCGTGTGAGTGGAGAAGCATGGGGTTGGGGCAGCCATGTCAGACAAAGGACTAAAATGCTGCAGAGAGGCTTGTGGGAAGCAGTGTGGTTGAGTGGACAGCTGTGAAGAGACTGCTGAGTGCTTTTGCCTGGAACTAAATATGGAATGTTGTTTCTCTGAAGATTCCAAAGGCCTTCCCAAAAATATAACCAACAACAGAGGGGAGAAAAGACACCCGGATTCCAAGGATCTCACGATGGTGCTGAAAACCTACGACTCCAGCTTCCTGGACTTTCTCAAGAGGTGTTTGGTGTGAGTTTGTTGGGGTGTCTTTGCTTGTGGGCTTCCTGACTTTTAAGTGGTGTGCTTTCCCACGAGTTCACAGGAAAGAGTCTAAGGCCCAGGTAGGTGTAAGAGCCAGTCAGGACACGGCTTTCATGGTGAGTGTTGAAGTATTCAAGTCATTTCATGTGTGTGAGTGTGTGTGTGTGCATGTGTGTTTAAGGTTGTCACCTTTCTCTCAAACTGCCTCACAGAGAGATTGCAAGGCCTAATGTACGGCACTTCTTGAACTACAGCCATCTCTTCAGTGGGCCTGTTCTGCTGTTTGTATGCAGTGTACACAGTCCAAGCACATTTTGATATACCCCCTGGATTTAGGGTTCAGACCTCCAAGTACTAGGCAGTTAGCAAATAAAGGGAGCTATAAACTATTATGATGTTTGGCAAAGCTTGGCTATATGGCTGCTGTTTAAGAGGACTTGGCAGCCTGTGGCTGTTGAGTCTAGGTAGATGGGCCATGTGCTTTTTCAAAGCAAGTCATCATTTCTCTCTGGGCCTGTTTCCTCTTCCTGCAATGAGTCCTACGGTGAGTCCACCAGTCCTACACTGTTCAGTATTTTCAGGAGAGTGTGTCTATATAATCTCTCATTCTTCTGGAGGGGTGTTATCAAAACACTCTGGGCATTTCATGCATTCCAGATCTTGGGCACTAGCCCAGAGAGTGATCAGTGTTACTAGAATCTTCCTCTCATCCATGGGGTGGAGTCACGCCGTTTCCTACCTGAAACCAAGGAGAAGGTTCCTGTACCTCATCTTTAGCCCCTCTACCCCCATGTCACCCTAACCTCTGGCTGAGGCTGTAGAATAAATGTGACTGAAAACAACACTGAGACTGGATTGAGGGTAGGGTTACCCATAATCCCACTCATCCAGAACAGATCAGGAGCAAAACAGATCTATCTATCTATCTATCTATCTATCTATCTATCTATCTATCCGTCTGTCTGTCTGTCTATCTATCATTTCTATCATCCAGCTAAGCTACATCTATTTATTTAGTGAAAAGGATCAACTGCTCTCAATTCATACAATGCAGTTATGTTGACAGGGCCTGCTACCCAACCTGAAATCTCTTAAGTAGCAAATCTTTGGGATGACAGGCTAGGGGCTCTGAGCTGAAGGCCACAGGGTTAGATGGAGCATGCTGAGCCCTGCATCTCAGTGAGGCTTACTGCAAAACTTCAGGAGAGGGGCAATACAGCTCAACAGCCGTTCACTTGATAACTGAGAGCGTGTGTGGTTGATGGTTTTGATGAGTCTAGAATGTTCATGCTGCCTTCCTCTAGTCAGAAGCTTTGCCTAGCATGGACAAGAGTCAGAAGTGCCGTGACAGAACCATAGCAGACAGCCAGTCAACAGTAGTGCTTGCCAAGGTTTGATATTTTCAAAAGAGTGTGTCTTTCTCTCTTGTTCTAGAAACGGAGTGACTTTAGTGATAGTTTTTGGATAACTGAAAGGAGTACGACTGAAAAGAAGGGCCAGTTTTATCCCATGTAACGCTAATGGGTAGATGTTAGACTTGGCTGAAAGTTAGAGGGAAATAAGCCAACCGTGGCTCAATAAAATTGGACATGAAAACATTGCTTGAAAAGTTTTCAGCAGAGAGAGGTAACAAATCATATGAACCTAGCTCTTTGGGAGGCTGAAACAGGAAAATTTCAAGTTTGAGTTGAGCCCAGGCTAAATAAGATCCTTTTGCAAAGTAAAATTGAAAAGTACCAGGATGTAGCTCCCTGGTAGAATGCTTTCTGGGAGTATGTGAGGCCCTGGGTTTGATCTCCATCATGGGAAAACAGAACTTTTCAAAACTGAAATCTGTGCTAGTGCCTAGTTCCTGAAGTTAGTTTAGGATGTAAAATGATTTATGTAGAAAGTTCTGTAAAATGCATTGTTACTCTCTTAGAAATTTCCTTGATTTACAACCCTCATGGATCTTCAAGTTTTTAATTGTTTTTTTTTTTTTTTAACCCAGGGTTTCATATAGCCTAGGCTAGTTTCAAACTCACTACTTACTTGAGGCTTTAAAACCCGATTCTCTTGCCTCCACTACCCAAGAGCTGGGAATGGGCATTGCCATCATTCGATGCCCCCTTATGAATCAGATATCCTGTAATTTTCTCTCTCCTTACCTTTGGAGGCCATCGTTTGAGAGCTAAAAGATGATTTCATCTTAACTTGCTGAATACTAAATTTCATTGACTAGTACTTTATCTTAAAGTAACGTTTCTTTCTTTGTTGTGGTCTGAAGGATTGGTTCTCAGGGTTTCACACATGCTAGGTGGGTCCTCTATCACTGAGCTACAACTCCAGCCCTTAAGCAATAGTTCTTGCAAGAGAATTTCTAGGGATCCTAGATAATTTGGCATTGATACAGTATCTGGTTCATTATGCAAATTTTCTTTAGTTTGTAGCCACTTTAAAATTATGCCATCATCTCTGTTATTTGATATCTTTGAGATACAACACAGCTAAAATAAAAAAAAAAACACCTTGATAAAGTTTTTAAAAATATACTATGAAAAGGGAAAGCCAGCAGTAATCAACTCACGTTGGGCTGTCTTGGTGTCCAGATGGGAGCCTTCTCTGCGCATGACCCCCGAACAGGCCCTCAAGCACGCCTGGATTCACGAGCCACGGAAAATCAAAGCATGGCCCAGGCTGCAGACCTTGAGGAAGCCCAGTTTCAGTGGTTCCTCCGAGATAAACAAGGACAAGGCTGAAGAGCTTCAACCCAGCAAAAGCAAAAAAGGTACCATGTAAGGAGCCAGCAGCCATGAATTGGGCCCTGATGTCTGTACAGGACATGGGGTAACTCAGGTCTGATGACACCATCACAAGCTTACAATTTCCTGGTTTTCTAGGTTTCCTCTTTCAGCAGCCACAGTTTTAACTGGATTCTCCCTTTTGGCCTCTTGCCATTAGGATTTTCCATTTTTTTTTTAATATCCAATTCCCTTTCTCCTTTCTCTTTCTTTTGTTATGCTTACTCCTTGTATAATATTGTCGCTTTTTATGTTTTTAAAAAATATTTTGAGTGTGTGCGCATGTGTATGCCGGTGCCCACAGAGGCCCGAGGACGTTGTCAGATCCAGATGGTGCAGTGGTGCGTGCCTGTAATCCCAGTCCTTGGGGGCGGCAGAGGCAGGCGGAGCTCTGTGAGTTCAGAGCCAGCTTGGTCTACAGAGGGAGTTCCAGGACACCCAAGGCTATACAAAAAAACCCTTGAAAAACCAAACTAACCAACCAACCAACAAGCAAATAGACCACCTGGAGCTGGAGTTACAGCCTTGTGGTTTTTGTAACATTGCCTGTGGGTGATGGGAATGAAGCACTGGTCCTCCAGCAGAGCAGCAAAGGCGCTTACCTGCTGAGCCATCTCTCCTGCCTCCTTTATGTTACTTATAATGACATTTAATGGCATGGGGCAAATTTTTCTTTGCAGTGTAATCTAGTAAGTACAGGTTCTGCTTCTACAGTGCCACTTACCCCTCTGGGTACGAGGTTACACATGTGTGATAATGGGCATTCTGCTTATTCTGTGGGGTTTGGGAAAGGACCAAATGAGTTAGTGAGCACAGAATGCTTAGAATAATACTGATCACAGAATGTTCAGTTTTCTCAAAACGATGTAAGAGCCTGACGGCAGAGTTAGAAGTCACAGAGGCTACCATTTGAAAGATTTCTTTGTCCCTTCCTTCCTTTGGCAGATGAGACCACCAAAGAGACTACGGACAAATTTAAAGACAGCTCTGAGACCAACCTTCAGAATTCCGGCAAACAGCAGAGCTCTCTCCAGCCTGTGGGGAAGACAGTCCAGCTGCCTCACCTAGCAGATGCTTCCGGAAAGCCAGAGACTGTTGCTGGGTCAGAGGTGTCGGCAGAAAAACGAGGCACCTCCTCCCCCAAGAGCACAAACATTTTACCAGCCATCATTTGACCCTCGTGGAGGATGTGCCCTGTTCCCTCCCACCACTGATCTGTATTAGAGATGGCACTTTGATTGTACAATACTTCACATTGCTTTTCTTTTTTCTAATGCATAAAGGTTTGTAAGAAAAATCAAACTCTATTCACATGGTGAGTTGGCATGCTTGTTCCAGAGAAAGTCGGCAGGGGTGGCCTTTACCCGAACTCAAGTTTTTAGGGTTGTGTGTGTGTGTGTATGTGTGTGTGTGTTTATAGAGGGCAGTGCTGAATGCTTCAGCCTCATTAATGAAACTCTAAATAAAATCAGATCTTGTTCGTGACTGTCAGTCTATGTCAGTCAGGATTCTGTTGTTTTTCTTTGTTGACATGTATGTGAAGGTGTACCACATGGAGGCTAGAAGATACTTAAGTCCAGTAGAGGGCATCAGATTCCCTGGAGCTGGAGTTACAGGTGGTTGTGAGCTGCATGATGTGGGTGCCGGGAACTGAACAAGCAGGCACTCTTCACCACTGAGCCATCTGTTGCCTCATGTCTGTTTTTTCCATTGGTCCTGGGTCATGAGCTCAGGTCCTCTTGCTTATGTGGCAGACATTTTAGCAACTGAGCTATGTCCTTGGCCTGGGGTTCTTGTTTGAAAATGATGGTTGATGTCATTCCAGTTATTGGTAGAGCTGGAAAGCCATGCCTCTTGCTGCCCCCTCCACTTCTCCCCTTCTGCAGTTAGCTTTGTTCTGATGGCCGGCTCAGGCTGGAAGTGAAAGGATTACTCACATCATTTTAAAAGTGCGCTCTTGGGGCTGGGGAGAGAGCACAGTTGGTAAATGCTTGCTGCTTGCTGCGTAAGCAGGAGCGTGGTCCCTAGCACCCAAGTGAAAAGATGGGTGCAACAATGTTTGCATTGGCTAGAACTCAGCCAGCTCTGGCCTGAGGTAGGCCACTTTTCACTCCAGCTCACAAGATGCAGCTGATAAACACATGTAAAAAAAATCTGGGCTAGCAAGATGGCTGGGTGGGTAAAAATGATTGCTGGCAAACCTAATGAGTGGTCTGAGAAATCGCCACACCTGGGCTGTGGTAGACATGTCTTACCCACAGATAGATTGAAACTGGATGTGAGGTGGAGAATCACCTTGAACTACTGATCCTCCTGTCTTCCCAGCCCAAGTGTGAGCTCTGCAGGCCTGCACTGCCACACAGTGATTTTTCTTTCTTTTTCCTGCCTTTCCTTCTCTTTCTTTCTTTCCTTCCTTTACTTCCCTTCCTTCCTTCCTTCCTTCCTTCCTTGCCACTGGGATGAAACTCAGATCTCACTGTCTACACCTGCCACACCCACAGCCCCTGAGACTGCTCCAACTCTCCCTTGAACTATGGGTATAGTTGGAGGTGGGCAGTGGTTCCTAGACTGCGCAGACTGGGCACGAAGCTACACCACCACAATGTGAATGACTTTGGCTGTCAGAAACTGTTTTCTGGTTGTTGTGGTTCTAAAGGATGGAAACGAAATAAAATAAGCCCATCTGTGGCTTATTTTAAAAGGGGCGTTTAGTCAGCTCACAGCTGGAGACAGCAGGAAATCAAGTGGGTGATTGGCCTCCCTTCTCTGCCATTCTGTCCCTGCCCTCTTCCATCTGACCGCTTTCTCAGAGAGGCTGTGGTGTTACCTTTAGAACAAAGTAAGCCAAACTCGTGTAGCCCTTTAACTGTAATCTTTTAATTTTCGTCCTTGCTCGCATGGACAAGAAAATCTGCAAAATCCAGTGACTAGCGTTAGATGGTGCTTCTGGTGTGGGTGGTGTGAAGGGAACTTTAGGGCTCTGTGAGGCGGGGAGGGGAGCTGAGGGAATAGGAACATGGCCCATCGCTGGAACAGTGGTCGGGCCCCAATTCACAGGTTTGCCATCAGCCAGTCCAGCAGCTGCAGCCGCGTGACGTTTCCCACCGCCTCATCCAGCTGTCGCTCCTTCTCATACCTCAGCACCGACTGCAGAACCTCCCCGACGCTGCGGCCTTTCTCCACAGCGGTGGCTGAGAGCTGAAGCAGCTGTGGAGAGCAGAGAGAAAAGTGATGGAGGAGCAGAGCAGAGCATCCCAAAACAGACCAGAAGGAACTTGCGGGGTTGGAACCAAGGAACCACCCCCCGACTTGGGGGAAACTGAAGTAGGGGAGACTCCAGATGAGGACAGATGTTCATGCAGCTAAGGCTGGCCTCAAACTGTTGGTCCTCCCTCCCTGCTTTCACCTCCCATGTGCTAAGATTATAGCAAGGGCCACTTTGCTCCCAACAAATTTGTATGGTACATGGACTGTAGCTAGGGCCTTGTGCATCATTAGCCACTTGGCCCCAGCTCAAGAAACTTTAACTACAGTTGCTGCTGATAAAAGCCACAGTACAAGCAAGTGTTACTATTCCCCTGTTCATGATACTGAATGTGAACTCTCATAGTCAAATCTTCTCATTGTTCCCTTGAAGATGGTGCTTCAAAGTGAGCATTTGTCAACACTGCTCTTGCTCCTCCGCTAGTTCTAAGGTTCTGTGCTCACCCTAATATAAAAGCCTCCACGTGTGATGCTCTCTGTTGACTGCCAACTAGACAGGATGTAGAACCACGTTGAAATCAAAGCTCTGGGTGTGGTGAGGGTTTTTCAGGACCAGGGGTGAGTGAGGTGTGAAGATCCTGGATGTGGGGTGCTATCCACAGGCTGTCGTCTCACAAAGAGGAAAGCTAGCTGCCCCTGATCACCCATCCCTTTGCTTCTTCACTGCGGAGGCCATGTGACTGCCCTCACCACACCACTGCCACGCCTCCCTCACCATGGAGGACCGCACTCCAGAACTGGAGGCCAAAAGAAGCCCTCCCCTTCCTAAGTTGCTTTGCCAGGTGTTTTGTCACAGAAAGAGGACAACTAAGTAGCACACTCTGTTGCCCTAAGACCAACATGGGCAAGAGCAGATGGGGACTGTGCCCCATGCACTTCAGAACCCCAGAACGTTAGAGCTGGAGGTACACCATTCTGCCTCAGGAGATGTTGCCCCGAAGTTCAACAGAGCAAGACCCACACCCGGGTCTCAGAATCACAAGGTTCGTCCTCCTCCCAAGCGCACAGTGAGGAAAATGGGTCGAAGCAGCCCTTCAACCGTGCGCACAGCACTGTCATCTACCTCACATCCCAAGGGCACCGAACTGTTTCCCGGGAATTGTGCACAAGACTTTTCTTTGTACATCCTGTTCTTACTCTAGGAAAGTGTAGAACGCACAGTTCATGGGCCCAACCCATGAACTTTTTCAGAAGAAAAATTCCCACAACAGAAATTGGAGCAAGTATTTTTGAAATGTGCAAGACAAAGTTTTGATGGATTGACAGGGCTTGCATGGAATTCCAGGACTCAGGAGGTTGAGGTCGGGGAATTTCAAGTTTGAGACAGCATGTTCTATAAAACGCGTTCCAGGTTAGTGAGGGCAACGCACTTTCAAACAAAGAAGAAAACAGTCCAGCCTGGTGGCACTGGCCTGTCATCTAAGTTATTAGGAAGACCAAGGCAGAACGTTTGCAAGTTCAAAGCCAGCTTGGGCTAAGGAAGGAGTACAAAGCCAGCATGAACTCAGTGAGCCTTCTTCTCCAGTAAAGTATTGTTAGGGTGGAACAGGTCTGTGTCCCTGTGTTCTATTCCCAGCTCAGGCCCAAGGCAAAGTTTGCAAAGATATAAGAGGTAGAAAGGAAAGCCAAGGGGAAAGTTTAGGGCTAAAAATTACAGTAAACATAAAATAAGAGGGGATCAGGTGGAGGAAACTGCACAAGTAAAGAGTTTGTCCAAGACTAAAGACACGATAAGCAGAAGTCAGGGCCAGTGAACACGACTCAGAGGTTTAACATTCCCATCCTTAGGACCCCAGAGGAGAGAGGAGAGGAGGAGAGGAGAAAAGAGAAAAAGGAAGGGGAGAGAGGTGGAGAGGAGAAGAAGGGAGGGGAGAGGAGAGGAAAGGAAGACAGGGAAAAGGAGAGGAAGGAAGGGGAAAGGAGAGAAGAGGAGAGGAAGGGAGGAGAGAGAAGAGAAGAGGAGAAGGAAGTGGAGAAGAGAGGAGAGGAGTAGAGAGGAAGGGAGGTGTGGAAGATCATCTGAAGATATACGGCCAAAGGCTTCCTTAACTTATCCCAACCCCAAATCCAGATGCTCAGCATACCTAAAATAAAACAAAAGAATGCCTGCCCCCACCCCCGACCTATTACAGAGTTCTCAAAATTCGCTTTGATTTTATAAGACAGGGTTTTATCTGTAGCCCAGGCTGGCTTCAAACTCATGGCAGTCCTCTCAAGAGCTGGGATTATGAGCAACACCACGCTCAACCTTTAAAAAGCAAGTTTGAGGCCTGTAAACATTCTGTTCTTCCAGAGGAAGAACTGTGCTCAGTTCCCGGCATCCAGGTCAGGCAGCTCACAACTGCCTGTAACTCTAGTTCCAGGGCATCTGATGACCTATTCTAGGCTCCACAGTCATGCACACACATACATACACATGCATTTACAATAGATTTTTTTTAAAATCACCTTTAAAAGGGCATTTGAAAATATACTTTCGAACTGGTGATTGGATGGGGTCCTGGCACTAGGCAAACACCACTACCTATGAGTGATATTCCTCGGTATTCCTCGGTCAGAAAACAGCCTGAAAGCAGCCAGAGGGAACTAGAGCATCACTTAAAGGGACAATGGCATTGCACTGTTTTTAATCAGAGACTAGAGCAGTCAAGAAACCACATAAATGCTCAGTGTGTGTGATGGGCTGCCTGCAGGTCCAGACTCAGGAGGCAGGGGTAAGGCGCTTTATCACAGGCTCGGACCAGTTAGCTCTAACAGTGTCTCATGCACGCTCCGAGCTTGATTCAGAGGCTCTACCTCCAGGAACAAAGTGGAAGAGCAACCAAGAAAGAACCCCGAAATGCATACGCACGCTCCACACATGCACACACATGTACTATCCCATACACATGTGCACCTCCTCATGGTAACTCATATACATACATGTGGGGGGGTGGGAAGAAGAAAGACCATGCTCAGAGAATCGAAAAGGCCAAACCAGAATTCGTCATCCAGCAGAAATACACCCCAGGGACGAAGGTCAAATGAGAACACTTTCATACAGTGCTTGCCTAGTGTGCGCCACACCCTGGGTCTGATCTCTAGCACAAACACAACACGACATTCTCAGATTAAAGAGACTAAGAGAACTCATCACGCCAAGTGCGTTCTCGGAGAATCACTGGAGAACCACATTAGCCAAAGGCAACTGGAAGCCAAGTAAGAGAAGCTGTGGCTCTCAGCACAAATGGGTGGCTGTCTTTGCTGAGAGGGGTTAACACAGATGCCTGGCCACCCAGTAACACAAGCTTAAAGACAACAAGCCAGTCAAGACAGCCTCTAAGATTCCACCGTAGAGAAACTAGGTTGGAACATTAGAAAATGTCCAAATAAACCCAAAGGAGGCAGAAAAAGAGAACTAATGAGGACAACCATGATTAGAACAAGCTTGACTCTGGCACCATGATCAGCTGGCCTTAGTGAAGGGGCAGGAAAATTCACAGAGGGTGGATACCCAGGGGCCTTTCAAAAGTAACTTAGAAACACCCACATGTCCTTGTGTGAAAGAACAAATTTAGTTCCCTTCCTGACAGGTATGCAAGAGCTAACTCAAAATAGACTATTCATAGGTGGAGCTGTGGCTCTGTGATAGGGTATGTGCCTAGTATGCAGAGGCCTGTGGGTTTAATCCCCAGCACTGAAAAAATAACACAAAGAGCAAAGAGCCAACATCAACACACAAAGTGCACACAGACACAAGAACATGGGAGCCAACATGAGCACACATAAGAACACAGACACAAGAGCATGAGTGCCAACATTGACACACACAAGAGAACAAAGAGAGAAGTCCATGTGACCTTAGTATTGGTTAGGTCTATCACTGTGCTCCCTTCACAGGTTCAGTTCTCTGCTGTGCAGCTGCCTGTATTACTATGTAATATTCATATTCAGGGTGTTAAGTATGTCCTTTGTCTTCTGCCCCACCAGCAACTGTCTCCTCTACTGTGACAATCAAATGTCTCCGGGCTTTGGCAATTGTCCTCTGGGGACAAAGCTGCATGCGGTCAAGAACCACTGGAAAAGGATGGGGTAGAATACCTTGCCTAGCATGTGAGGACCAAGGCCCAATTCAAGCATGGCAAAGACAAAGAAAAGAAACACTAACTGGGCATAAACTATTCATGTTATTAAATATGACACAAAAGCACACAGCTCTAGGATCATGAGATGGAGGCAGGAGGATCAGAAATCCAAAGTCATCCTTAGCTACATATGTAATGAAGCTAACATGAAGACGAGTACACATGTAATGAAGCTAACATGAAGACGAGTACACAGGAAAGGGGAAAAAAATCAGATAATCCACCAGAAAAATATTGTTTGCTCTTCAAAAGATGCTTCACACAGAGTCAACATTTGAGAGTCATGCCTGACAAAGGACTTGTTTCTAGAATGTAGAACCTTCAGGTTGAGGATGTGTCCCTTTAGTTGGTACAGTGTTTGCCTACCATGCACAAAGCCCTGGGTTCAGTCCCTAGTGCTATAAAAACTGGGCATGGTGCCACCTCTGTAATCTAAATGCTGAAACCTAACACATGCTAAGCAGGAGGATTAAGAGGTTTAAGGTCATCCTCAGCTACAGAGAGAAGGGGAAGCCTGAGCTACATGAGACTGTCTTTATAACCAGGCAAACAACTCCAAACAAGAAGAAAAAAAATCAGAATGTGAGCAAGAGATCTGCAGACATGCACACAACTGATTGCACCAAGGAATCTACACAAATGGATGGAGGAAGACATAGAATTATGTTCAGCATCTTTAGTCATTTAAATTTATGTTTATCAAATCAATCCATGAAGATCTATGACTATGACTTCTACAGTAAATGAAAGACATGTTGAGGAAAATGGGATGAGTGGAAACCCACCTAAATGGCTAGTGAGAATATAAAATGAGACAAC